AAAAATTATATATATATATATATATATATATATATATATATATATATATATATATATAATTTTGGTTTTATATAAATATGTATTTAATTTATGAATTTTTAAAAATTTAATTATATCTTCCAACGGTACATTTTGTGCTTACTTGATTATTGCCGTTAAAATTCGAACTTTAAACGTTTACATGAATTGTTGAATGCAGTAATTAAGAATTATCCGACAATAAAAATAAAATTTAATTTTTCGAATAATTCATTTAAATATAAATTGAAGCGTTCATTAAAATTTTATAAAGTTTATGAACCGAACCGAAAGTTAAACAACCAATTTCTAATTAAACATTTAATGACAATTATTGAAAATCATTGTCATAATATTTTTTAGTTGCAAGTTTAAAATCAAACCATCGATTCTTGGGTTGGTATCGGTTTGGTTGGTCCGGTAGAGATATTTTTTAAACCTAACCCAATTATTTGGGTTGTCTGCTTTGGTCGGTTACTTATCGCACTTAGTCTCACGGTTTTTAAAACACGTCTGGTAGGGAGATGTTTCTATACTCTTATAAAGAATGTTTCGTTTTCCTTTCCAACTAATGTGAGATCTCACAATCCACTCCCTCGAAGTCAACGTCTTCATTAGCACACCGCTCGATGCCTGACTCTAATACCATTTATGACAGTATAAGTCCGCCACTAGCAAATACTGTATGCTTTGGTTTATTATGTATCGTTGTCAGTCTCACGATTTTAAAATGCATCTACTAAGGAGAGGTTTCCGAATGTTTCATTCCCCTCTCCAACCGATATAAGATCTCACAGTCCACTCCTTTGGGGGTCAGCGTCTTCACTAGCACACCACCCAATGCTTGGCTCCGATACCATTTATAATGTACCAATGCGGACAATATCTGCTAGCGGTGAGCTTGGAACGTTACATTTTCGACCTAAACAACCTTCATTAATTAATGAACCCAAACCAATCATAAAATTTTTGGGCTAGGTTGGTCCCCGACATTTATCCAATTTTTTTTAATATAATAAAATATTAAATAGTATAAACATCTATTTAATTATTTTTAAATATTCAATTAAAAATTTGCGACTCACAAAAATAATCATATTAACAGATTGATTGGGCTCGGACTCAGGAACCCAGAACCCACGAACCAATTCAATCTATAAAATTTTCATTTATTTTTAACCCAAGATTGATCTGTACGGCACAAATTCGATTTAATTGATCGTTTTATAAATTAATTTTATATATAATAAATTTTATACTAAATTTACAATTTAATTAATTTTTTATATAAAGTTAGAGCATAACATAAAATAGTGATTTTTTTTTTGAGAAAATAAAATAAACACAAAAATTGAGTTTTAATTTTTTAAGTGAATTTTTACAAGAGATAAAAGAAAAAAAAATAAAAAAAAGAAAAAAAGAGAAAAAAAAGAAAAAAAAGAAAAAAAGAGAAAAAAAATAATAAAAGGAAAAGAAAAATAAAAAAAGAGAGAGAAAAAGGTATATTTGGAAGCTCGTCTGGAGCTATTTATTATTTATTTATTTATTGTTCACCAACTATTCCACTAAACTGAGTATGAGGCAATTTCTTGATTATAAATAAATAAATAAATAAAATAAAGAGACACAAAATGAAAGGTTCCTCACCATTGAAACGATATTATTTTTGATGCCGAGCTTCGAATGACAGAGGCTTTAGGTTTGAGTACGCAATTTCTTCGATTCTCCGCCGGCAAAACCACCTGGGGAGCGAGGATCTATGGCAGGTCTGAACTGAAATTGGTAGGGTTTGTTTATCAAATTTGGCCGCAGTTTTTTCAGATTCGACTAGCATAAGATCTGATTAGCTCCTTAGGTTTTTTTTTTTTTTTTCAAGCTCCTGCATCAAATTTCGTTCTGAGTTTTTTTTGTCTGATTCGTCGTTTAATTGTTGAATTGAAGGCCATTTCGTATTCCCTAGAATCTTGATTTGCGTGCGCTTATTAGCTGTTGCGATCTTTCACGCAATTGCTTAGGCAATTGTGAGCTTTTATTGTTTGAATGGATTGTTAGTACAGTTGGAATTTAGGAGAGTTGGATCGCCATTTACAGCTCATTTTTTGTTTATTTGAAACGAAAAATTGCTCCTCCTATCTTCCGTCTCGTACTCAACCTTAATGTACAGAGGGCATTGAGTGCGGGGTTTGGATGTGCGTGTTCGTCGCAGTGCTTCTCTGTTTATATACTCGGGCGGAATTGTTTAGATATGCAGCAGAGTGAGGGCCTTTCTAGGAACAGTAATGAAAATGCTCTTTCTTCATCGTCTTTGAGGCTGACAACGCCTCAGAAGTCTATTCGGCGATTGGGGTTGTGCTCGCAAATAGCAACCGGCGGACAACACTCCTCGCCCATTGTCTTCCCTGAGAAGCGCAGCAAGGCCAAGTCTTCTAGGCGAGGTAGTGAGATTAACTCCTCTATCTCGAAGTTCACCATGACCTCGAATGCCGATCGTGACAAGCCGAAGAAATTTGAGCATAGGATTGACATTGGTGGAGATGAAAAGTCTGATTTATTGGGCTATACAGTTTTATCCGGTAAGCTGATTTTGGACAAGAGAAAGAATTCGGACAAGAATGTTTCTGATGACACTGGTGTTGCTGATCGAGAAAGTTTTGATGCTAAACTTACTAGCACGGCCTTGATATGGGGTTCTCACATGCTACTTCTGGAAGATGTCGTTTCAGTAAGCTTTTCTTTACGTCTCAGCAAAACACAAGGTCCATGATTTTCTGTTGATGTATTGATGAATTAATGATACTATGCCCCATTTTGACAGGTCTCGTACAATGTTGGTCTCAGGCATTTTACAATTCACTCATATCCACTGCAGAAAGGTCCATGTGGTCTTTCTTGTTTAATGAAGCCCAGGAGGAAGTCGAGAGATTATTGCTTTTTGTCTTCTAGCGTGGAAGAGGCAGTTCAGTGGGTTGGTGGTTTTGCAGATCAGCACTGCTACGTAAATTGTTTGCCTCACCCCTTACTCTCCTCAAAGAAGCAGGCATCTTCAGAATTAATTCCGGTTGATACACCTCCTGAATTACTTTTCAAATGCAAGAATCCACCAAAAATGCTTGTGATATTAAATCCACGCTCTGGACGAGGCCGCTCAACTAAAGTTTTTCACGGGATTGTTGAACCAATATTTAAGGTATGATTTATTCATGTTCTAAATGTGTATATGAACCACCCTCTTTCCAGTTAACTTGATTTTTGTCTTTAGCTAATACCCAACAAATAACGATGGAGTACAAAGCCTTTATTGACCTTTTGTTTCAAGGCTTACTGATATAGTATTAAACTCATGATGGAAGTTGAGCATTCCTACTCTTGGGTGAAGTTGAAAATTTGGATTTGGATCTTTTCCTTTACTGTGGTGAATTGATTTGGTAGTTTTCTCATGGATTAGAAAGATTGAGTTCCGTGTTCTTTTTTTTTTTTTTTTTGGCAAACCTTAACAGCTTGCAGGGTTCAAATTGGAAGTGGTTAAAACAACATCTGCAGGCCATGCCAAAAAGCTCGCATCTACTGTTGACATAAGCAGCTGCCCCGATGGTATTTCTATTTGATGTGCTCTATTATGATAAAGAAATGTTATTTCTGGTTTATGTATATATCAGATTATCTCTTCCCTCTTTAAATAATGAATCCATCTCTTCAATTTTCAGGAATTATTTGTGTTGGAGGTGATGGAATTATTAATGAGGTTAGCCAGTTATCTATCTTTTCTAATAATTCTCTTTGGGCATTTACAACGGTTGGGGCTCTTATGTGTAATTGTGTATTTTTAAGTTGTCCTTCGAATTTTATGAGGCATCTTTTGCTTCTATCTTTCTTTTCTCGTTGAAAGTTGATTTCTAATTTCCTTTCAAAAGTATGCTTTATTTTGTTTCAAAAGGGGGAAAAGACTTGTTTTATTTTATAGAGGCTCCACATTTTCCCCCTCACCTTA